TAAATTTACGGGACGCTACTCGTGGTTGTTAACAAGACTGTTCTAGAAAAATTCGACTCTGCCTTCGTTTCTATATTAGTTTTATTTAGTAAAGAGATAACTGTGCCCCTGACAATTATTCTGACCAAATCAATAGGAACTTATATAGTCATGAATGAAGGGGGCAGCGTGGTAGAACTTACGACTGCTAACCCAAAAGTCCCGAATTCGAATCCAGGTTCAAAGACAGTAGACTGTCCCCGAGTCTACCCAACTCTGATGGGTACCTAACTTACGTTAGGGAAAGTAAGGCGGTTGGACATAGTGATGAACACACTATCACTTCATATGCCGAGATCACAGAAAGAAAAAAAATTATTTGTTGATCTTCTATATTAATATTTTTTAGAAAATTATAAAAATATAAACAAAATGTATTTAAATATATATAAGTGGTCGTCAAAATGATGGTTATAGAACCTTAAAAGGTGGTTAAAAAATAAATAAAAAAACAATGAAAACAATGAAAACGTTGTGATTACAACATATGTAAATATTAAAAACCAACAAAGCAAACAGCCACAACAAATAAAGCAATCCCACTTAACATAATTAACACGATTAGACAAAAAACAGGACAAAAACAGACTGATAGTAAATAGTAACGGCTATTTATAGATCAACTGTATGAGAAATATGGCCTATTGTAAAGCAAGCCTAGCTGAATAAATTATTTTTAATGACTATTTAAACATATCTTTCAACAAAAAAAATCGATACTCTATTGTTTGTCGTCGCGGCCGTAAAGGAGCGTCACGGAAGACAATAGGAGGAGGGGAACACCTGCTCCAGCTGGAGTATTTTACTATATAACATGTCTGCTCTGGCTGCTCAATATTTTACTATATAAACATGTCTGCACAAAATCGACCCAAACACGACCTACTATACTACTGTTAGAGTCCCATCAAACTACTACGTCTAAATAATAATTTAACAGCAGGTACAACAAAGGCTGTCCATTGTTTACATGTCATTTTACCATAAAACTAAAAAGTTTATCCTATGTGGTCTTCAATTGAAATGTATGTTCTTTACATATTTCATTGCAACTCCACACAGATGTTGCAATCAGTTTAGGTGTTTCAAAAACTATATATAACGAGCCATTATGTTGTCTAATGTATTGTATTCTCTAAATAAAAATATGAAAGGGAAAAAATGTAATAGCCTACATTTAAAAACTTGAAAGCAGAAGTTTTTGTATCATGATATTGTTTTAACGCCTTCAAGTTTGAGAGTTTAAAAAAAAAACACCCTGCAACCAACGACACGTTTCTAACCGTGGGAAAATAGCGATAAAGATTTTTTTAAACACATAAGACATCTGGTAAAAGTCGTACCCAGCCGTCTTCTCGCTACATTTTTTTTTAAAGGAAAGCATCGCACAAGCGCGAATAGAGAGAATTAAAACAGCATAAAAAGAAGGCATCAGTCTCAAGCGTTACACACTGAGATAGCGTTTATAGGCGGGGGACACTAGAGGAAGCAGAAAGTTAAGGCACACCCGCCTCCTGCAGCTTTGGCATCTACAGACTTAATTACGACAAGATACGACAGATAGTGGCATGGGCAATCAGCATTAGGCTGTCTCTAAAAGCTACTTTAGTTTAAGGTGGTAAATTAATGGACATCTACAGACTTAATTACGACAAGATACGACAGAGAGTGGCATGGGCAATCAGCATATGGCTGTCTCTAAAAGCTACTTTAATGTGGTAAATTAATGGACATCTACAGACTTAATTACGACAAGATACGACAGAGAGTGGCATGGGCAATCAGCATTAGGCTGTCTCTAAAAGCTACTTTAATGTGGTAAATTAATGGACATCTACAGACTTAATTACGACAAGATACGACAGATAGTGGCATGGGCAATCAGCATATGGCTGTCTCTAAAAGCTACTTTAAGGTGGTAAATTAATGGACATCTACATACTTAGTTACGGCAAGATACGACAGATAGTGGCATGGGCAATCAGCATATGGCTGTCTCTAAAAGCTACTTTAGTTTAAGGTAGTAAATTAATGGACATCTACATACTTAGTTACGGCAAGATACGACAGATAGTGGCATGGGCAATCAGCATTAGGCTGTCTCTAAAAGCTACTTTAGTTTAAGGTGGTAAATTAATGGACATCTAAATACGGCTAGATACGACATGGGCAGTCAGCGTCAAAAGCTACTTTCGTTTAAGGTGGTAAATTATAAAAATAAATTGTGAAACACAGCAAAACCAAAATATTGTTTACGTACATATAGTCACAGTCTACAACCACGAAATATTTTTATTAATTTATTATGATACACAATCTGTTCTCATAGGTATCATAATGGTGGGGTCGTGTAATTTAAAGGACACGCTATTTATTCACTAAAAACACGGCGCGACCAGGCAATATTTTCTAACACACCCACGCCAAAAGGTTAGACAGATCGGATTGTCCAGTGATTTAAATTTTCCTATTGATTCCAGCTCACGCGCTCATATGCTAATGTACCTGGGCCCATCCAGCCTGCTTTCAATGCATTAATAATCCCGCCCAATAACCTTATGTACTCCTATTATTTGCTTTTGGCATCTAAAATATTGGGCTTGGGCCGCTGTGTAGAGGGAAGTAACTCTAAAACAAAGCTGTCAATAGCATTAACTGAATTTTATTCGGTCAGCGATCTAACATTATGCAGCGCTGGATTCTGAATAATTTTCACTAAGTCCACGCGAACTAATTGACGTTATATCAACAGATTATACTGTCTTCGTTCATTTACAATTCAAACAGCGATTACGTGTGCATATGTTAACAGGTTTAATTGGCACTGCAGCTGTTTGATAAATTATTGTGGGTTTAAAGATTGACACAGACTAGTAATGTGATTGGAAGACAAACATTCTGTCATATGATTTTACCTAATCGTGAAGAAATATCACACTCGATATAAACCATTTGACTAGATCACGTTCTAGAAACCTGACATTTTGTGTCAGCCACATTTCTAGAAATCTGACTTTCTGTGACAATAAATTTTCTAGAAACCTGACATTTTGTGACAGCCACATTTCTATAAACCTGACATTTTGTGTCAGCCACATTTCTAGAAATCTGACTTTCTGTGACAATAAATTTTCTAGAAACCTGACATTTTGTGTCAGCCACATTTCTATAAACCTGACATTTTGTGAGCCACATTTCTAGACACCTGACATTTTGTGAGACACTTTCTGTGACAATAAATTTTCTAGAAACCTGACATTTTGTGACAATGAATTGCGAGAAATTTAGACACAATGCTTCCAAAAGGGTTTTCACATATTGTTGATTTAATTAAATGTTGATCTAATTAACACAAAATTAAGAAATAAACAGAAACTAATAGAGCAAGTCATGCATTTTATTTTTTACGTACCCACTACTACCGTTTTTTTTGTTCCCCACCGGCCTACAAAGACTCATATAAATATTTAATCTTTTAAATTTTTTTGTTTTGCAAACGCCATAAAAAAATCTATTAGTGGACTCATCAATGTGGACACATTTTTCTCGACAAACGTCCCTACAAGCAGCAGGCAAAATCAAACAACCTTAAAAACTCCAGCCCACGGGATACATTTCTTAGTGGCACCCACTCTCCAACCTAGCATTCATTTTATCTTAGCTTTAGTAATACATCATGGGAAACATGAGCCGGGCCAAGGTCAGGGTTATCAGGTAAGGAAAGAAAGATAAGCGAGGTCTTATACATTATTATCGCAATATCTAGGCCTATGACTTACATCGGAAAGACGAGGGCAGGAAGAAATTACCGATTACAGATTGGTGGTCAGTAGTTTAAGATAGGTTTTGCATAACTCGGGGAGGGGTGCTAACATTATTTCACTCAAATGTATTATATGTTTCTTTGCCAATTAATTTTCTCCTTTTATTAGGTCTTCAATATTTATCTGTATATTATTATGCTAATTCACCCGTTTTGTTCGAAAGCCATCAAAGTATCATGGAACAATTATCTGATGCCATATCTCTTACCATTGTTACCATTCATCAAGTGCTAAATATAGAAATATTAAGGAAAACATAACTTTTAAAATTTGTTTGGAACATTTTAAAAAATTAGGTAAGAACTGTCTGGTTCTGGGTAAGCGACATACGTCGGTTTCGAAGTTGAATTATGGATATTTAAATCGTACACACTCGTTAAATAGGAGAACAGGGCATAACACTTATTTAATTTAATCAAATAGTAATTTAAAAATTATCTTTTAAAAGTTGAATAACGGTGAAAGTTTAAAGAATAAGTAAACATCAACAAAATACCAGCACGTCTTTCGTTTTAATTTACATTTTTTAAAGGGGGGAGTAAACCGAGGTTTAAAATCAATAGGTTATGTAAGGATGAGTTATCTCTCTTTATGTAAGTAATAAAACAGCAATGTACTCTACTGTTACAGTAATACACACTTGCATCTCCATCTATTACACTTACTGTGTCACTGCCCTGGTCTAACCTTTAACCCCAGTAAAGGGAATTGGTAACGATCCCCCCACACCCTGTTGTTAACCATTTCGAGGACATTGTCACGTCTCGCCGCTCCGATTCCCCTCGTTACTCAAGTGGACGTGTGACTGACAGAGCGGAAGACGGTCGGCCCATTTTAACATCAGACAACGATAAGAGCAAAATTCCCCGGTTAATTAAATGCTGAGGAGCTGTAACTAGCCAGGGATAGTGGGCTATCAGGAGAGGGATGGGGTGCGGGGTACGGAGAAGGGTCTTATCGATTCCATTCAAGTAATGTCCAAAAATCTCTGTCATGAAATATTGGTTGATACAACAACGGCCTATGTCAGGGCGAATCAATATTTACACATATTTTTTTTGGTGGGATACAAAACACTAACATTGAAGCACCAAATGTGTCCACAGAAAAACGGAAGCGGATGTAGGTGTCGACAGATAAACAGAAGCCTTGTGTGTTCTTTTTGAGACGATACATTGGAGCTGATGACTTCCTAGTTCGTGTTTACCTTCCTACTGGCGCTTTCTTCAACAGACCGCTGGTTCGTTAGTCAAACAAGGTGCTCGATATTGTATAGGCTACTGTTTCTTTATTGACGTCAGTAGGTCATTGATTAGCCATATCATATTGGCTTACAAAAATAGACTGAGACTTGATAATATTAAATTCAGCCCGTTTTCTCATTAATTTAACCGAACCTAAGCCGTGTATAATTTAAAAAAAAAAAACTTAATATAAATAATTCAAACAAATTTTCATATTGAGACAGGGCAATGATACATTGGTTATAGTACATATCACGAAGCCAGAAGGGAAAGAAACAAAGATATTCCTTATAATATGATTTACACTTTACGTAATACTAGATATTCGAATACGGCTTAAGAAAAACGAATTTTTATTACAAAGAACGAATAAAAAAAAACGAAAACATACCGTATTTAAATATGCTTTAGAATATGATACAGTTGGATTATATTTCAAGACCACCCTAAGTAGTATGTGGACGGTGCTCCCCTAACTCTTCTCCCAAGTTCTACACTAGTAATTTTACTAATTAGTGAATTTCTTTATCTTAACTCGCACGATAAAAAAACTAACTTTAAAAAATGTGGCCAACAATATCTACTTCCTTAAGTTCATGTTGTCTAACCCCGTTTCAACCTTTAAATAAAAAAAAATAAATAAACTAAAATACAATCATTATAACTAACAAATGGTAAAAATAAATAATTCGGTGAACAGATTTTATGTAACATTAGATTCCCAGCTGTATGGGCGAGTTGTATACCGCATACATGTTACATATCCATTTTCAGATTCCACTAGTATGGGCGAGCTGCACACATCATAAATGTTAAACATCTATTTTCAGATTCCACTAGTATGGGCGAGCTGCACACATCATAAATGTCCCGGCCCGAACGTCTATTCCCCCCTCCGGCCTACTCAACCAGGCCGCCCCGCGACCCAGAGGACGACCTGTTGGAGGCCCGGCTAGACTCGCCCAACCCGGACATCGAACTCGCCTACCGCATCTTTTCTCTCGTCTGCTTCATGTACACCCCCATCATCGTCGTGACCAACATCTTCTTCTTCCTGGCCATCGTCATGTACCCCGGGTTCAAGACGAGCCTGAACGTTCTGTTGATGAACCTGGCCATCGCCAACCTGCTGATGGGCTTCTACTGTGTCCCCCTGTTCGGCTCCAGCTACACAACCACGGCCAGGAAAGAGCTGCTCGGCAGTAAAGTAGGCTGTCTCATACGGTTCTCCTCCTTCATAACCTCGGCCGGCGGATCGTTATGGTCCTTGTTTTTCATCACCATCGAACAGTATCTGTACCTGAGCAAACCACTTTGCCACCAGAAAAAGATCAGCATAGAGAAGATGCTGCTCTTCATCGTCTTCTTTTGGAGCATAGCACTGGCTGTCGGATCTCTTCCGTTGGTAGGGTTCAACAATTTCGAGGAGGCGCTCAAGAACGACATCGCAACTGAGAACTGCAACTTTTTCCGTACGTTATCTAAAGTTTTTCTGTACGCCACGTTCATAGGCCCAAGTATGGGCAGCCTTGCCGTATCCACTCTCATAAGCATAAAAAATCTGGTCAAAATAAGATGGAGACCACCCGCTCAGGAAAACGACATTGCTAAAATAGAAAAACCAACACACGGCCGCTCCATCCACGCTAAATTGACGGTGTTTCTGCTGGCTGCCTCACTCATGCTATGGTCCCCCTTCATGGTCGTCATTTACATGCAGCAATTCGAAAAGGCTTCGGCGGCACATTTAGAAATATCAAAAACAATATCTCTTCTTCTAGGGTTTACAAACCCGTTAATGTGCTTGCCAATCTTCGCCATCTTCAGTGAAGAACACAGGTACGTGTAAAATGGAAATTATTCTTGAAAACTATTTTATCCTGAAATTATACCCCCAATTAGAACATATATTATTGGATTGTGTTTAGAAGGAAAAGCGATATACGATACCTATTTTTCCGGATATATCAGCCAGCTAAAATCACCACCAGAGTTGTTACTATACTATGCACGCGCATATGTAATACATTTGAGTTCAGCCTAGGGTAGATTATTATTAAAATTTACCATCAATTTAACTGCCGTTGCCTTAATGTGGTTTACGTCCTCTAATGCAAGCTATGTGACATTTAAAAAAAAAGCATTATGCCAATATTCCAGTAGCTGGTCACTTTGAAATGAAGAAACACAACATAAAGAGATTTTTGTGCTACCGCTGTCCGATACGGCGACTCAGAAACGCGGTTCATACTAGGTTTTGTCTTTTTTGTTTAGATGACCTTGGGTCGAAACACCCACCGTACTTGTAGTTTTTATTACTACTAGGTACGTGTATGGCCACATGCTGACCACAGACTAATGCTACATGTTTTTATTACTACTAGGTACGTGTATGGCTACATGCTGACCACAGACTAATGCTACATGTTTTTATAACTACTAGGTACGTGTATGGCTACATGCTGACCACAGACTAACGCTACATGTTTTTATAACTACTAGGTACGTGTGTGGCCACATGCTGACCACAGACTAACGCTACATGTTTTTATTACTACTAGGTACGTGTATGGCCACATGCTGACCACAAACACTACATGTTTTTATTACTACTAGGTACGTGTATGGCCACATGCTGACCACAGACTAACGCTACATGTTTTTATTACTACTAGGTACGTGTATGGCCATATGCTGACCACAGACTAATGCTACATGTTTTTATTACTACTAGGTACGTGTATGGCCACATGCTGACCACAGACTAATGCTACATGTTTTTATTACTACTAGGTACGTGTATGGCCACACCACAGACTAATGCTACATGTTTTTATTACTACTAGGTACGTGTATGGCCACATGCTGACCACAGACTAATGCTACATGTTTTTATTACTACTAGGTACGTGTATGGCCATATGCTGACCACAGACTAATGCTACATGTTTTTATTACTACTAGGTACGTGTATGGCCACATGCTGACCACAGACTATTGCTACATGTTTTTATTACTACTAGGTACGTGTATGGCCACATGCTGACCACAGACTATTGCTACATGTTTTTATTACTACTAGGTACGTGTATGGCCACATGCTGACCACAGACTAACGCTACATGTTTTTATTACTACTAGGTACGTGTATGGCCACATGCTGACCACAAGACCGTGCAAGTGGCACAGTACGCTCATCAACGCCTACTGCGAGTACCTGTGCAAACCCGTCAAGGCTCCCAGAAACAGGCTCGGGGAGCAGGACCAAGCTGCCAGGGTAGAGAAGAACCGCTTCGTCCCCAACCTGTCTATAATACCCGAGTCTACGGCGGGCGAAGAGGCCGAGAGCGAAGCGCACGGCTCTTCCGCGGGCAGCGAACCACTCGTCGAGAAGACCGAGTCCAACGTGGACCAGAACAACACCAGCAAAAAAAGTCACGTGAGTGTGCAGTTCAAAGACAGCGATCCCCCCGCCAAGTCCTCCAAGGAAGAGGGGACGACCGTGGTCAGAAGGAGCCGTCAGTCGGCAAAAAGTGTGGAGACGATACTGAGCATCATCTTTAAAGGCCGCGCCACGCTGACAGAAGCGGAGAGCAAGAGCAAGAAGAGCGACGACTTCAAGATGAGCAGCGGGGCGGCCAGACAGCTGCAGGAGCTGGAGAGGGAAGCCGAGAAGTGGATGGGGACCAGCGTCGACCCGCACCAGGAGAAAAGCGGCAGCGACAGCCAGGGTGACAGCAGCTTCGCCACCGCTAGTCAGGGAACAGAAGACAGCACAGCCAGTGGCGGGGAGGCGGGTGGGAAGTCTAGGGCCAGCAAGGTTTCGGGGAAGGCTTACATTGGACTGGAGGAGCGGGATTAGAGGGACGCGACCACATGATGTTTTACTATATTGTTTCAAGCACTTTGATAATCAGTTGAATTTTTGTTAGAGGTTGTGTTCAATTTGAAAGACCAGTTGCCTTGGTACAAGCGTTACTGGTTCAGACATTTTGTAGTTTATTTTCTCCTTGACTTAACTAATGGACTGCTGCTTCACCTTGTTTAAATACTATATGATTTTTAACACTGTGATTGACTGAAAGAGTAAATATTTACCAGCTTTGAGTTAGGGGTGGTCCAGAAATTCGTCTATAAATAAAGAAAAACCCACACCACAACAACTACCTCCCGCCTTCTAATCCACAAATCTAACTTTTTTTTTAAATTTATTTTTTAATTAAAATAAATAAAATGTATATTCTGTCACATTTCTTCTAAACTTCCATATCTTCATGTCACCATTAACTAAGTACAAACTCTCAGCTTTCTAATGCTTATGATGTTTTACGTACATTTTTAACTTTCTTTTAATAAACAGTTGTCATTGCTTTATTGGGTATTAAAAACTGATCTAAAGTGGTTTTTAACACGAGATCTTTCATAAACTCGCTAATTTTTAACTGGTAAACGAGTGTAAACCGATAACTTAGTTTCTTACTGGCTGTGACAAAACTAATGTGTAACCACGCTGTTTTACACAGTTCATTTTAAAAATCGATTCCTCTGAACATGACTGGACAGGGAAAAAATGCACAATGAACATTTCAATCTAGAGGTAAGGGACCCCTTTGAAAATGTATCGGGCCTCTCAGACACAGCCAGTCCACCCCTCGCTCTGAGTACAAGTAAAGGTATTTAATCAGGGAACAGTTTCAACGTTTATTTCTACATTTATGTTTTACAGCGTGGATTACATAGTGAATACTTTGGTAGTCTGGTGGGGAGTTCATATACTGGGTAACCAAAAGTTTCGGGAAAATTATTGTGTAGCCTCTACTGGAGTTAAAACACATCTGTACATTTGGAAATGGATGTAGAAAAGAAGCCGTCATAAAAAAAAAACCCTTGGTATTGGTAAGTCCACCAAGCTTGTTCATATGGTTCAGGACACAGAAATGGCAAGGTGATGTCACAATAAAAATGTGTTCATTAATCTAATAACTAATATTGACCCTGATTCGCTAACATTTTCAGTGTTAAATCAACCTAAAAAGCCAGAAGTTAACACTAACAGTTGCTACGTAATGTTTTTATTTAACTTGCTTTCTGGTGATTAATGCTTAACCTACTTCAAGCCTTTGGCTGTCGTGCTTAGTCATGGGTCACTTTTAGCTGATTAATTTTTTCAACCTTGAGACGTGGGTCAAGACCCGATGACAATGCAATCTGACATAAAATTAATTAAGTTACTCGAATGTTTATTAAAAATTTCGCAATTTTCGTGTAAAGGGATGCAACTCAATAATATATTTGAAATAAATCAACCTAGCATGGTTACATCCCTTTATTTGTGTCAAGTGGGAAAACATTTCTTTACACATTTATTAAAAATGCTTTTGAAAAATAAATTTCTGATTGATGTATAAATGTATAATATTAATTCAAATTTATATAATTTGATAGTTGACCTATATAAATCATATACATATACATTACAAGCCATTACCGGCCAGGCTTTGGTCCAGCCATGTCCAAATGTAAATGTTAATGCAGTTTGTTTACAAAATGTTTAGAGAAAAATTAAAGAGTATTACACAATGCTATGATAGAACAGCAAGTGATTCTAAAAATTAACCTACACATCACCTGCTTTTCCTCATTATCACGTTTTGTTACACAAATAAGATAAGCATCGAGGTAAAAACCATTAAACAGAAAACTGCTTTTAATTTACTTTCTCCCTCATAGTGAGCGACAACCCCATATGATACAATTAAAATATACAAACATAAAATATCAGAATAGTATGATGTAAGAGTATACAGCTTTTTACACAGTAATAGCAAACAATTGCAAAGCAGAACATTAATGTAGACTAAAAAACAATTTCAAAATATAATAAATTGTAACAGACCATTGTACACATACAGCATACTCTATATCTAGTACAACAATATAACTAACCAGTATGTATTAAATGTTAAATTATATGCATGGAAATGCCAATAATAATAATAGCCAACATAAAATAAGCATATAACCAAAATTCAACCTAATATGTAAGACGATACCCTACCATACCCCCACCTGGTCATTAGTCCCGAGATCAATTACCTCCTCTCAATTACTAACATGTGTTATTACACTGCAAAATACATATTATACCAGTTACATTATACCAATGCCTACCCCTTTCTTTACCCATAACCTCCTCCAAATTCCTAAACCTGTTTCTAACCAAAACCAAATGCTTATCCAAAATCTTCAATCCATCATCTTTATTATTATATCCTATCATTACCGCTAATTGGTGTGTTACCATTACCCTGACAGATGGGTAACTGTCAGGGGGTAGGTAATGTTTTTGGGTCCCGGTAATGTCTTGGAATGTGGGTAATTGACAGGGGGTAATGACAGTAAAATGACCGGGGGGCTAATTAATGGGAGGGGAGTGTTGTCAAAATCCCTTTTTAAGCGCCTCCTAACCCATTGTGTAATGTTACATAACATCTTCTTAGGCATCTATATTGTTGAGACAAGAAAACATGTCGATGTTCAGATTTTGAATATTTAAAATAGAATCTAAATACAATCTTTTTTTAAAAATCTAAACTAGAACAAAAATTATTTTTTTCAAAGAACAACATACAAAACTCCATAAAAAAAAATGTCTTGCAAATTGTGTCTCGCTATTTACCAGTGATTCTGCAGATTTATCTGGCATTTTCTTTTCGCAATTTACTAACACCCTGGGCAATGAGTATACACTCTATATTATATAACTATAGAGTATAGAGTGTATAGTATACAGTATAGAAGATCTAGATTATATTTTAAAATTTAAAAGTATAGACTATAGTGTAGTTACATATAGTAGATTCATTCATCAATGGAGGCGAACGAGTTGAGGAGAATCCATCCATCATATTGTTGACATGGATTAAAAACATGCTTTTTTAGATTTTGCAATCAAAGTGACCGGTAAAATAATAAAAAGTAAAAACTTAAGCTTAAGGCTACATTTCTATTTATTTTCATCAAGCCTAAGTTATAACATGATGTTTCACTTTCGTAAGACAAATATTGATTGGCTGTACAGGAACTCCATGATCGATATTTATTTGTTTACAAAACTTTGCAGATAAAGTTTTTAACTACGCCGTGTATGATTTTTTAAATATTTATTTAATGGGCCTCTCAAATACCTTTGGGACTTAACCTGGTCGCTTCTATTGACAATTAGTGAAATACCATAAGGTTAAGTAGTAGGCTAACTAAAAAAAGTTAGTAGATAGTACTTGTAAATCTATCTAGGCTTATATAATAAATATTAAATAATATTATTAATAATATAACTAGTATTATAGTAGATCTATAGCTACTAGACTAACACAACTTCACACTAAAGTGAAGTGTGACTACAGTGTAACTACAGACTATAGGTAATCTATCGTTTTAGGTACGTAAAATCACCCGTGACTAGTAATGTGAAAAACAGGTGACTCCTTAAATTTTAATAATTATTTCACATTTTGAAGAGGGTTTCATTTTGAAAAATACAAAAATGTTTCCTTGTTTCATTTCTGAACCTGTTTTTAAACAATTGAATTAAAACTTTCAGTAATAAATGAAGACTAGCGATGTTACCAACAGATGCAACCATGCTCATTTACTATAGCAGACATCTTGTTTAAGTTTGTTTTCATGTAAACTTATAGCTGATTCAGGGGAAGCCACTCTATTTTACAAATGGCTGCTGTTTATATAGCAAATCTTGCTCGAAACACTGCTGTTTAAAGTTAATTTCTGGCAATATATAATAATATTGGGTAATCTATCGTTTTGGGTACGTAAAATCGCCCGCGGCTATTTATGTACAAAAACGTTACTTCATTGTCAAGGCTTTAATAGAAGTGTATTGTCATACTTTTGTGTCAAATATTATAGATAAATGAATAATAAACCTAAATCAATGGCTAAATATATCGATATAGGCCAGAAATTAACTTTAAACAGCAGTGTCTGAGAGCAAGATTTGCTATATAAACAGCAGCCATTTGTAAAATAGAGTGGCTTCCCCCTGAATCTGGCGCTAAAAGCTTATGAAAATAAAACTTAGACAAGATGGCTGCTATAGTAAATGAGCATGGTTGCATCTGTTGGAAACATCGCTAGTCTTCATTTATTACGGAAAAGTTTTAATTTAATTGTTTAAAAAACAGGTACATAAATGAATCAAGGAAACATTTTTGAATTTTTTAAAACATAAATCTTCCTCAAAATGTAAAATAATTATTAAAATTTAAGGAGTCACCTGTTTTTCACATTACAAATCGCGGGCGATTTTACGTAGGCCCCTACCCAAAACGATAGATTACCTACCTAATATTGATATGTTTAGCCATTGATTTAGGTTTATTATTCATTTATATATAATATTTGACACAACTATATCACAGTATACTTCTATTAAAGCCTTGACAACGAGGTAACTTTTTTGTACATTAGTAGCCGCGGGCGATTTTACGTAGGCCTACCTAAAACGATAGATTACCAGACTGTCACCAGCATTTAATTTTAAAAAAGCTAAATTAAATAAAATCGTAAATAAAAAATTAAATCTAGATTTCAGTTCACTGTTAGAATCTAAGTGTTAACGCTACTTACATAAAAATATTTATTAAAATCGAATTTCCAAAACAGCTTTGACTTTTAAGCCTGTTTGTGTAAAACTTTCAAATCCATCGACGCAGACGCCGAATTTATTACCATGGTATCTTTTGATTCGTAAAGCTACACAGGAAGTTAAAAATGTCAACAAAAGTTTAATTTTTTTTTCTCAAATCATTGCGGTGAATACCTAGTTTTATATCAGCCTTTTAAATGTCCATAGGCTAGCGGTGTAGTTGATACACTACAATAATTTAAATAACGTATTATTTTCTTACCATCCAGTAACTCTGAATATTGGGGTTTATTAAATTAATTTATATCGTCCGATATTTTAAATGTTTAACATTATTGACTTCACAGTGGGAGGTAGGAGGGGATCATTTAAAATTTTTTGAGAGCCGGGTTAAGCAAACTGAAATAAACTCTGATAGTATTATGTACGGACAACCTCGAATTTTAAAATTTAAAAATAATTTGTTTGTCTAGATTGAGTTATACTGTACTGATGCTGCCAGTATAGTGTTCTATTCTAATTCTACACAGCAGATGATAATAGCTCAATTAAAAAAAAAATTAATAACAGGAAGTAGGGACGGTTAAGGCACCATTAGTACTATAACTATTTAGCAATTTATCCGTGATATATTTTTTTGGACCCATGCTTTAGAGCGTATTAAATCAATTGTCTACCCGGTTGCTACTCGTTTTGCCATATCTAATGGTAACTTAACAATAGACTCACTCAGAAACTCAGTGATAACATTACTTTGCATGTTACCTTTAAAAAATTACTCAAAATTTGACAGAAGGCACAGAATTAGATATTGTACTTATTTTTTGAAATTTCGTTTATCTATCTGAAAAAGTAGTCAAGTTATAGGCTTTTAAAAAACCAAAAGTATAATAAGTTCCACTTCCGTTTACCGGAAATCCCTGAAAAGTTGATACAGAACTACAAATTCGATATAATACTTGAACTTGTATATGAAATTTCATCAACCTAGCTGTAACGGTACTCAAGTCAGAGGCGTAGCGATGGGGGGGGGGGGCGGGGGCGAACCGCACCGGGTGACACCATTTATGAGGGTGACCCCAAGGCCAAAAATAGTAAAATATATAGAGAAAAATTTGAAGGGGGTGCAAATCGAAAGTTTGAGGGGGGGGGGGGGGGTGCGAATCGAAAGTTCGAGGGGGGGGGGGGGTGCAAATCGAAAATTGAAAGTTTGTCTCCGGGAAGAGTCGCTACGCTTCTGGGGGGGGGCGGTGACACCATTAAGTGCCGCACCGGGTGACACCCGACCTCGCAACGCCACTGACTCAAGTTATTGTGTTTACAGACACATACACACAGACATTCAGACAGAATTGCAAAGCCAAGTTTTTCCAACTCGATTACACATTATAGATGGCTGAAATTTTTATAAATCTGCATTTATTATTTTTGCCCGATTAAAATTATTCCCCTATACTCCGTATATGATGAAGTACTTCGGTGTAAAACGATGAAAACTGTCAAAATTCCATTTGATTTTTGTGCACGATTACAATACTTCCTCTATACTCTGTATAAGAGAAAGTAAAAACGACTGTGGTGTGCTTCAACAGGAATACTTAAAGACCTAAAGGGCCTAATTTCTTAATTTAAAAAAAAAATCTGCATATAAGATAATGGTTGCAGAAACATTATATTATATAGATCTATGTGTTTATGCGTAAAACATACAAATGTACTAAGTTTTTGAAAGTCATAGGAATAGACAAAAAGGCCCAAGTTAGTTGATAAGCGCATTTTATCAGCTCAGAAGTAATTACTTGCCCCTTTTTACTTTCAACCTCTACTTCCGCGTTAGGTGTGGTATGTTGCGGTACTTAGCGGAACATCAAAATTTACTATTTAGATCTTAGCCCAGTAGCTTGAAAACCAAAGCGTTCAGGACGTCAGTACGACGTTTTTTTAATTTATTGAAGTCCCTTAAAAAACTCAACCATGGGTAAAGGATTTAATAATTATATGACAAAGAAGTTCTTTCATCCTGCCAGTAAAGATAATATCAAACGGGTAAGTTACTAAGTAATCTATTATCTATTCTAAAATCTAAGTTAAGTCTGAATCTAAGTCAAATGCAGTTCAGTTGAGTTCAGTAATGGACACCAGGGCCAGTGAGTTGACGAAAATTCTTCCGTAAGCATATATATATATAACGTTGTTGACATGGAATAAAAATGTGCTTTTTTAGATTTAGGACCATAAAAATAATAAAAGTTAAAATTTTATTAAAAACTTGCTAAAACCTTAGTTTAGCGTCGTAAATTCGGCGAAAACTAGTAGGCCTAATGTCACTTTAATGTGGGAGATAATGAATCAATGAATATGACAATATGTTATTAAATATGAGTAGGCCTAGGCCTATATTTTTGTATATTTTGATAAAATATTATAGATAATTGGGTAAAACCTTAGTTTAGCGTCGGAAATTATCAGGTAATGTTTGTTGAGTTTCGGTAACTAGAGTTACGGTAAACCATGGTTTATTTGACCATTGAAATATAAATCAATTGAAAGTCGATTGTAGTAAATTAATGTTTTAATTTTTTAAGTTTAATCGACAAAAGGAAACAAGAATAAATATCATCCGTAGATTTAAATAAGTAGATCTAAAAATAAAAAAAAAACATATATAAATATAAATAATGAAGTCAAATGTAATAATTTAATGTTTTTTGCTTGCAACGGATTTGCGACCATTAATTAATTAGATCTAGATCTAGCTAGTTATCTAGCTGCTAGGCCAAGTAAAAAAATGTAGATTACGAAAATAGTAAAAATGATTAAAAAATGTAAAAATGATTACAAAAATAAATCTATCCAAATTTTAAACATTCTGTATAAAAATAAAAGATGACGCCAAATAAAGTATGGTTTACTACAGTACTTCCGGTGAATTCCGGAAGTGTGTGACAGACTTTGGCATTGTTTTACTGTTTTTTACTGCTATACGATTCCGGAATAATAACCGACGCTAAACTAAGGTTTTACCGATAATTGAATAGGCCTAATAGATCACCATTTCATTTATGCCATTTATGGTTAAATCAATTTAAATATCCTGAAATTGATTTTTATCAACCCTGTTTGAGATTGAAAATTTGCTATTAAAAACAGCAGCCATCTTAAGAAAATGTTATTTAGAGTAGCTTCCTTTCATTTCTATTCGTATGAAAATGTATTTAAATATGATTGTCTTGTGGTATAGTCCGTCCTACAAAGCATTATTTTTTAAAATTCTGCCCTTTAATTTACTTTAAAAACTTAATTTCCTAACAAACAGCTTTATTAATTCTAGAAGTATTGTGAGATGCAACTTGTATCCATGTACAAAATCACGTTTTTTTTGTACTAATGTTTATTTGATCATTACTATATAGTTTGAGTTTTTTCTTATTGTTTGAATGTTCACTATTTTCAATTCAGGTTTTTCTTTTCATCAATTAGTGATTCTATTGTAACTTATGGCAATTTTTTTTACTTCTCTTTACCTTAATTAAACCCCAACCTCCATCATATTTTTGTTCTCAATGTCACAACAAGTCATAATGTAAAAAATTTGGCTTCGCTCTGCATTATCTAAGATCTCTAGCCATAATTTTGACAACAATAAATGTTTGTCATCATTTATATATACAGAGAGACAGAATGTATTAACCATCAGCTTCCCTTGTAAAACATCATCTAAAACAATCAGCCACTCCACTCCTTAAGGGGTCATCCGTAAAAATCATCAAAAAAAGCGTGACGTCATTTATGGATGACCCCTAAGTGCGTGTTGTCATTTTAGTCGATCGCAAGTCTCCATCTGTCAGACACATTCTGGTTATCCTTTGTTGTCAAAATGTCAATATCAAGTGACCAAATGAGTGATATGGGGTTGTCCATAAATGATGTCGCATATGGTTTGCTACGCGGCTCCGCAAATTATGACGTGTCGGTCTCATGAAAGGAGGTGAACGGGGAAAAATACCTAGGTGATTGATGGAGAACCTCTATAATGCTTTGTTCAATCAAAATAACGATAAATAAGCATAAGTAGGCCTATACGTGTACCTTGCTCAAAACGAATCATCATAAATGTTGCAAGCCTGCTAGTTTGAGACGTTTGGCAAAATGGCCTCAACACAACCCCGTCAAAAGGCTCGCCACCAAATACATACCGACGAATAAGCCGCGTCTAATGCGGGGCGTTAGGAATACGGCCATTAGCATGGGTCCGCGCTAGAGCACCAGTAGGCTATCGCGCTTTGTAAGGTGACGTAAATACTTTAATTCAATTTCGCGAAACTGCACGAAAATTTAGTTATGTTTGATGACATTTTTTTTCTTGGACTTAAAATAAAATATCATGTTGACTGTCTGGCTCTTAATTTTTGAATATCACTTGTAATGTATCATGATTCAGAACTATAATTTACTTTAATATAAGTGTCATCTTATCGTTTATTGTGCTTTTTATAAAGCGCAGAGCAGCTTTAAAATCGGACGGCCATCCCGTTTTCACCAAGCTTCTTTTGGAACTTAATATGGGTAGTCTAGCTCTATACGGTGGGAGCTTAATAAATTTTTAATGGGCCGAAAGTTTCAAGACAGCAAGCTTGCAGAAATAACAACATATATTTAAATGGTCGAGGGATAGATGTGTGGGGGCTGTTTCATTGAACACCAACATAAGTAATCAAATGAAACGCCGCATAAGTGTCAAAATTTTTACTTTGAAATAATTACATTATCAATTAATTTTGATTTATATTATAACAAATGGCTTTCAGTCAAAAGTTTACTCAAAGTTCTTTTGTTTTAATGATAAGTCTAGTTTTACAACATGTGCGTGCATAGAGCGAATATCGATTCTCTACAACAGAAAAACGCTAAAAAAAAAAATCTACCGCAAAATAAAACATATCTTTTTACAAATTGAAATGGATTTCACTAAATTGATATCAAAATACATGCTGTGAAGTAGAAACCTACAATTTTTATTCCTGATAAAGCATTATGGCTTTCTGCCAATTTGTCATGTTAATTGAAACGGTACTTAAGTTATCATGTTCACAAACACTGAGATAGACATACATGAGGTGTAAATGTAAATCATCAAGATTTGTCAAAATCTCTGATTTTTTGCACGATTACAGTACTTACTATTTACTTTTTATACAAGAAAGTTAAAAGAAGAGAGCAAATGTGATGCTAAGTGAAAAAACTACTGGAAACGCAGGTGGAAAAATTATTAACTAATTGGCCTATGTGATATAAATAACTACGTCATTAGGCGCTATTTAATTTATTTAAAACTGACTGAATAGGACTATGCTTTTTGTTGTGCAATTTTATCACAATGCATTTTCGTATTTAATATTATTTTTCATAAATCATTTCATTTTTAAGCTGTGTGGTCGGCTCTTCAAATAAAATTTTACTAACTTTATTTGCTAGAAATGGATGGCAGAGCAGAAGACAGCTTTTGAAAAAAAACAACAAGAAGAATTGCTTGCACAGTATCAGAAAGAGCAAGAAGTTCTTAGCAATAGGTATGAATGTACAGAATCTTTAATAATCATGACCAATGCTTATATGTATCATTTTTATTTTATCTTTTGACTTACTTTGATTAACTGACATTGTTACTTTTCAACAGAGAAACTTAGACATTTTTAAAATTACAAGTAACATTTATTTACAGAGCCCTGCTAGGTGATGAGAAGGCTAAATTAGGGTTGAGTTTCCTATATGACGCTCCACCAGGCCTAAAGAAAAAGGAAGTAAGTCACTCTTAGTAGTCATTATGTTGTCTTTATTTAACATAAGTTGTCTGGTTTAAAAATTACCTTAAAATTATTTACAAGCTCAATTATTACTAAATTTTAAATTATAAATTTGTCTTCCTATGTTCATCTTAACATTTTGTTGATGTAGAAAGACAAATTTATAATGATTGATTTTAATCTTATAGCAGTTTCCCACTGGCTTCTGTTGATTTTTTTGAGATTGATTTTACTTTCCAGGAATCAGAGGGCTTGCAACAGGAAGTTAAATTTGAGTGGCAGAGAAAATATAATGCTCCCAGAGAGGCGTAAGTTCCATTTGTTGTTTTCATTAGTTAAAAAAATGTTGTTTATTACTCATTTTTAGAGCATCGACTTTATCTTCTTTATAACTGATGATATTGTCAGAATTTTAAAATACATTTTTTTTCTAATAGACCTATATTTCTGTATTGTGCAGTAATAGCTGCATGTATGCTATATTTTTTACTAATAGTTATCATTTCAAACTTACTGATCGAATGGTTTATAAGGGGGGGGGGGGTGTGGTGCTGACATATAAAACCATGAACAGTAAGCTGAGTAATTATACTTACTACCTTAATGTTCCATAACTTGAGTCAAGTACACATCAGAGCTGGGTAGGCACAAGGAGTCTGATTTCAAGGCACATCATATTATCACTTAATTTTTATCAGTATATTTCTTTTGTTAACAGCTATGCCAAAGATGATGACACCATTCGAGATCAGCCTTTTGGTATTGAAGTAAGAAATGTGCGCTGTATTAAGTGTAGACAATGGGGACATGTGAACACGGATAAAATTTGTCCTCTTTATGGGAAAAATTTAACAGCTGAGCCAGAACTGCGTAAGTAGTGTATTGTTGTTAATAAATTCTTTTAACAGCTCATATAATCATTCTGTTAATTTTGACTGATTTTTTTGTTTTAGACTTTTTAACAGTCAATAATTCTATTCATGTAACTTAGCCTTTTTTGGAGCTTTGGTCACTTACTAGTGCATTGCATACATCAGTTTTCTGGGTTTGTGTCCATTATCCTAGTGTTTTTCTCTAGGTCTTGTGCACGCATTTGGTATAGCCTTGTTTTATATATTATCGTGCTCTTAAAGTTTCAACAACTGTTCTAGTGACTTCTTGATCTGTTTAGGCTCAGTTCAAAGGAACATTAGGATTTTTTTGTCTGTGTATCACTAATTCAAGTTTCTTCTGTCAATTGTTTTCAGTTAAAATTTAAACTGTCTTATTACAATTTTGACTACTAATCCCCAGCCAAATCCAGCAACTTGAGCCTGTTGGATGGTTTGAGAGAAGATGGATTTACCCTGAAGAACAGTGTTCTCAGTAAAATGATGGAGTCACAGCCTGGAGAGCAGGTAATTCAGATGTTGTTATCTCATTGTCTGGTTCTTTCTTTGGTTGCTAATTGTGTTGTTGATGGCAAGTCTTATTTGCAGTAAACTGCAGGGGGGGGGGTCACTCTTAAGTTCTTAGTTTTACTATCTCATGTAGGATTATATACGAACAACCTATGGCAACACCATTATTTAAGAATCTATCGATTTGTAGACCTGTTTACATTTAGAATTGGTCAAATGAATTATATATAGTACCTCTTACATTTTTTTCTTTCTAGTGCATTTATTGAAGCTTTTGGTTGTACACTTTTATGAAACATTAAAACATTTATTCTTTTGTTTGCAGCACAAAATTTTATCTCAAGAAGATGATGAAGACCCTGAAGTGAAGTTTCTCAAGTCTCTTACACCAAAGCAGAAGAAGAAATTACTCAAGTGAGTTAACAATTCAATTTCAAATTCGAATGTATTTTTTAACTATTCAGCTTTTAAAACTGTACTGGCCTTGTATTTTTATTAGTAGATAAAGAACAATGCTACTGAAAACTTGCATGTTTTGTTGCACTGCACAATTCTTTATATTTTGTATTTTTATTGTTTTCATTATGTTTAGAAAGCTGAACAAGTTACAGTCAAAGTCAGGGGAAATAAGCAAAAAAGTTAAACAAAGTAAGTAAAAGAAATTGGTATCTCTCATCAATTCTTTCTTGCCTCATGTCGTGCTTTTAAAAACTAAAGGATCTAGTCAACATTATTTTTTTAATTTGTTCTGAAATTCAAAGACGTCATGGATCTAGATGAAAACCTTCTACTTCGCTTAATAACTCAACAATAACTGGGGTTGTTACCCACAAGAAAAATGGCTGAAAATAATAGCCTGTAATAGATTTTCCTTGGTTGTGTGTGGCAAATTAATCTTTACTGAAAATATACATTTCATAAGGGTGTTTTGTTGACACACACGCTTAGAATATGTCAGCTAGCGAGTTGAATAAATATGACAGTTTGATGTTGTATAGCCCAGCTAAAACAATGTTTATCTAGACTACAAACATTTTCTCATTACCTCGTAGTTAATCTTTTGAATCTCTAGAACTGTCATTTCATATTATTTGTTTGTTTTTATTCTCTAAAGGTGAAAACAAACATAAAAGTAAGAAGTCAAAGAAGACAAAACATCATCATAGTTCATCATCAGAATCTGAAGGTAAGAACCTACTTATCTGTTTGCATGAATTTCTATATTGCTTTCTCCAACAAAGTATTTAAGCAATTAATTGTTATAATATTATGTGAAATAGCTGGTATATAAGACATAAAAATAATTTGTCTAGTAAACAGAGCTGCCCTAAAATAGAGCGTTTTTCTAAAGTGCAAAAATCTTGGTTTTAAAAAAGTGCTTTTAGAAGAAAAGAAACTTCATTTATTTTCACTTTAAACTATAACAGGTTTTTCTATTCCTGCCCACATTCCCCAAGTTTCATCATAGATTGATTTAGAAGCTGTTAGTCAGTATCCTTAAAAAAAAATTGACTTGTGCCATTGTTATGTCTGAATTGTAAATTTCCTATTGTTCTCTTCAGATAAACCGAACCCCAAAAAATTATCTGGCAGTTCACACAAAGCAAGTCACAGAGACAGGCAGACGTCTACAAGTTCTGAGGATGAGGAGCAGGGGAGGAAATCAAGAAGAGATGAGCCAAAGCCAGGGCCCTCTGGCAGGGAACCACAGAGACATAGGAGAGAACGATCTAGAAGTAGGGATAGAAAGGATGAAGCTAGGGATAGGTCTAGAAGTAGGGACAGAAAGGATGATACAAGGGATAGGTCTAGAAGCAGGGACAGGAAGAATGATACAAGGGATAGGTCTAGAAGTAGGGACAGAAAGGATGAAGCTAGGGATAGGTCTAGAAGCAGGGACAGGAAGAATGATACAAGGGATAGGTCTAGAAGTAGGGACAGAAAGGATGAAGCTAGGGATAGGTCTAGAAGCAGGGACAGGAAGAATGATACAAGGGATAGGTCTAGAAGTAGGGACAGAAAGGATGAAGCTAGGGATAGGTCTAGAAGCAGGGACAGGAAGAATGATACAAGGGATAGGTCTAGAAGCAGGGACAGAAAGAGAGAAAGATCAAGAAGTCGTGAACATAAAGGAAAGAGAGATAGAAGGTGAAAATGTGTAGTGTACACTGGTTAGGAAGAATTTATATGCACCATGGTGATGCTTCAGAACTTGAGTGTGTCACTACAATATTTTGTATTTGATGGAAGTTTAGTCCACTCAAATGAATGCATCATGCACGTCGAAAAAGTTCAGTTTATGAATGTGGGAATGTTATTGTCAATTGAACTTCCTGAAAATTGCTGACGACACTGTGTTGTCTGAAATGCTCATAACTGTATTGCAGAAGTCATGGATTCTGTCAGTAATTATTCTTAAAGTTACAGCACATTCAGACTTATTAGTAGCTTGTCAGGTTGTAAGTGCAACAACATTGGATTATCTTTTTTGTATGGATGATTTATTCTCTGTTTTTATCTAGTTTTTAAAAGGGGTTTTAAAATTTATTTAATAAGTTAAATAAAAAATCACTAATCATCTTGTAACAAAATTGTTCTATCATACTTTTAATCATGTGTTTTAAATTCCTGTAGAATGTAATTTAAAAGAGAATTACTCAATTCTATGGTATGTATTTTTAAAAGAAAATGTGTCAGACAAAATTCGACTAGGTCACATATTTTTGTAAGGGGTATAAAACATGAAATAAAACAAGTTTTTACCTCATGTCTTAGGCTTTAAAATCTGAGAGTCAACAAATAAACATTTAATCAATACCACAAGCTTTTTATTTCCTTGTTATTTTATTCATTTAACTTTATTAATGCTTTTTTTTCACTGTGCTACTCAATGGTATGGTTAATTATAGCTGTACCACATATGATCAATGAATGCTAGTTTTTAAATAAAAGAATGATTATATATTGTTTTGAAATACACCAACAAGAAATTTTCTTTTAAATACACAGAATGTCATTTATTATAGCAATTAATATTTAAAACATGATGAAAATTGGCAACATTTAGATATCTATTACAAATATTCATAAAACTGATGGGGATTCATTACATTAAGGGAAGTAACCTTGGGTCTTTGTGACTCAAGTCCTATAAATAAAATAGTGAAATTTCTTTCCAAATGATGGATACCATTAATGTCAAATGGTGTCTGAATTGTCATAGGCAAACTTAAAGAAGCGCTAGGACCACAAGTGAAGTTGTGTAATCTATGTCCAGTTGTTCCTAGTGTACTGGTCAGTAGGTGTCCCTAAAGGAGTTGTAGGACCACAAATGAAGCTGTTTGATCTATGTCCAGTTAGTATAGTGTACTGGTCAGTAGGTGTCCCTAAAGGAGTTGTAGGACCACAAGTGGAGCTGTTTGATCTATGTCCAGTTAGTATAGTGTACTGGTCAGTAGGTGTCCCTAAAGGAGTGGTAGGACCACAAATGAAGCTGTTTGATCTATGTCCAGTTGTTCCTAGTGTACTGGTCAGTAGGTGCCCTAAAGGAGTGGTAGGACCACAAGTGGAGCTGTTTGATCTATGTCCAGTTGTTCCTAGTGTACTGGTCAGTAGATGCCCCTAAAGGAGTGGTAGGACCACAAGTGAAGCTGTTTGATCTATGTCGAGTTGTTCCTAGTGTACTGGTCAGTAGGTGCCCTAAAGGAGTGGTAGGACCACAAGTGGAGCTGTTTGATCTATATCCATTTGTTCCTAGTGTACTGGTCAGTAGGTGCCCCTAAAGGAGTGGTAGGACCACAAGTGGAGCTGTTTGATCTATGTCCAGTTGTTCCTAGTGTACTGGTCAGTAGGTGCCCCTAAAGCAGTGGTAGGACCACAAGTGGAGCTGTGTGATCTATGTCCAGTGGTTCCTAGTGTACTGGTCAGTAGGTGCCCCTAAAGGAGTGGTAGGACCACAAGTGGAGCTGTGTGATCTATGTCCAGTTGTTCCTAGTGTACTGGTCAGTAGGTGTCCCTAAAGCAGTGGTATGGTCACATATGAAGCTGTGTGTTCTATGTTCAGTTGCTGTACTGTACTTGATAGAGCCATGACAAAACAACCATGCGATGCTGGGTTTCTTCAACACAGAGCTCTTGTGTGGAGTTTCATTACGCTTCTATTTCATTATGATCTCTCTCCTACAACAAGTTCAATGTCAAGTTTAATGAGGGCTCCTATCTTCAGATTCCAAACCGGTTTATATTATTTAGTACACCAAACCAGTTTATAACATTAATAACAATATTCCCAACCAGTTTATATTACCTAGTTTACAAATCCAGTTTATATCACAGTACATCAAACTGACCAAACTTGTTTATATAATTTATTACACAAAACCAGTTTATATCATCCAGTACACCGATGAAGCAGATCTAGTCAAATGGCTGCTTGAAGGTTACTTAGTGTACCTTATAGGGCTCTTTAATCTCGCCACCAGCAGAGGTTTCGGCTCAGACTGGTGTTTGGTCCGATCGAAATTTCGTACAGTGTTCCTGAATTTGCTAAAAATCTGCACCGGCTCGTCCAAACATTCCACCGACTGAGCTCGTATCCAAATATCGCACATGCTAGACCTACGCTCCTGGCTCACAACTAGAGCTTGGGAACTAAAGGCCGGTGTCGAGTTAGCATCGGGGGAGATGTGTTTCTTGTCTGCTTTCTTGAGAGGGGGCGATAGTTTGAATGTGTGCTTGTGCTTTGGTGAAGACATTTTTAGATTTTCCAGGTACGACATTTTGATTTTGTTGTCGTCAACATGTTCATCTTCTGCTTGAATTTGGACATCACTAGACATGGAGCTAGCGACAGAGTTGTCGTACGCCTGCGATAACGAATCTTCGCTCTGGCACTTTGGAATGCTTGCTCTTTCCTCACCCAGCGTTTCTTCTGATTCCGCACCAGTCAGGGATTTCCCGGTAGACTTCTCCTCATCCAGTTCCGTGATGCGCTCGCTAATGAGATTCACGTTGACCCCGGAGGGTAGCCGTGACCTATTTTTTTGGAGAGTGTCTTCTCTTTCGACGGCTGCCCTCCTGATACACACGATCTTGCCGCCCTTTTTGACCACGATGTCTCCGTTTTTCATCGTTTGTTTTTGTGAGCTTGTCCCTCGCTTCAGTTGAAGGACGGAGATCAGAGTCGAGAATCTCTTGGTTTTATTCAGCGCGTGGGGGGCTGAAATTAAAAAAAAATTATTATGCATTCACACAAGCTTGTTACACAAACATGAAAGAAGACATCAAGCTATATAATAAGCCATGAAAAAATAAATAAAAATAAACAAAACAACAACAGCAAATAATAATAGGATATTGAAGAATAAAGATGAAAAGGGAAAGGTGTTTGGAATGGAAATTAAATTGTTTTTATTTTTATCAGCTAAGGCGGCATGTGAAATCTGATCTATCGGTTATCACATTTTTACAACCTGATATCAGGATATCACCAAATACGAAAAAATACCATTTGTCTTTTCAATTTAATTTCATATACGGTATTTCATGGCAGTACTAGAAATTTGAACTTTATATAACTTCCCCTCCACCCTTACCCCAGATAAAAATAGATAATGTAGTTGACAGTTAACCCCCCACCTCTCACCCAACGAATACTCACAGTCCGCTGCGGGGTAATCGACCGGCTGACACAAAATCTCCTTGTAACCTTCCCTGAACGACTGGGACCTGAAGGCGTAGATGATGGGGTCACACATGGAGCTCAGGTACAGGAAGGTGTAGGCCTGGGGAGAGAGGTAGGCAATTTATGGGGGTAGAGGTACTTAATTAATGGGGGTAGAGGTACTTAATTCGTGGGGGTAGAGATACTTAATTAATGGGAGTAGAGGTACTTAATTCGTGGGGGTAGATGTACTTAATTAATGGGAGGGGGTAGAGATACTTAATTAATGGGGGGGGGGTAGAGGTACTTAATTAATGGGAAGAGAGATACTCATTTATGGGGGTAGAGGTACTTAATTAATGGGGAGAGAGATACTCAATTCATGGGGGTAGAGGTAATTAATTAACGGGGAGAGAGGTACTTAATTAATGGGGGTAGAATTAATTAATGGAGAGAAAGGTACTTAATTAATGTGGTTAGAAGTACATAATTTATGGGGAGGGAGATATTCAATTCATGGGGGTAGAGGTACTTAATTGGCGGGGGTAGAGGTACTTAATTAATGGGGGTAGAGGTACTTAATTAATGGGGAAAGAGGTACTTAATTAATGGGTGTACTTTTTATACCAGTGTAATTTTTAGTAATAATAATTAAGAGAAGAAATTGCATTTTAATTTGCTTAGTGAGCTTTTTGAGCACCCCTATTATACTATTTAAAGAGGAGAGTAGTGGTTTGAAGATTTGCCTATCTTTCATACCACAACTCATGTAGTTTTTTTTTTGTCTATGCAACAGTGTGTGTTAGCTACTGTAGAACAATCACTGCTATAGAAGTTCTGTTTTTTTTCTTTTAAAAAACCATTAATCTATCATGGTGCAAAAAAAATTTTTTTTTTTGTTTTGGGTCTGATTTTGGGCTTTCCTTAAAATGCCCCCCCCCCCCCCCCCCCGGGTTTCGAAACGTTAGAAAAATCTTTCAACAAAGCGGAAAATTAGATAGTTAAAAATGATGTTGCCAGAATGCATTCAGAAAGCCAAGGTCGGACAGATCCAGGTTGTCTACATTTATATGAAGTCAAGCCAAATCATGTGTACTCTCCAATGTTTATTTGTCCACTGGACGTTAGAATAGAAATCCCGCTAGTTTGCGGAGATGTATAACTACGTCTCTGTTTATTTGTCTAATGCTAGACGCATGCAGCATTAAGATCTAGCGCTGTTACACACAAAAAAAGTTCGTTCCTGTAGCGTCCAGATCAGAGTTTCTTCCAGGCATCTCTACCCCCCCCCGAACAAAATGGAATTTATCCCTTCATTTCATGAATTAATTTTGTGAAAGCTTTTTGAGAAAAAAAAATCTTACAAGGTGGGCTGTGGTGTGTAGAGAGCATAAATAAAGAGGAAATTGAATTATTTTATCAAATAATGTTTATTTTGCAAAATAACAGTATGTCTCAGATTTGATACAGTATGCAACGGTGGGTAAAAATTTGTTAAAATTGACAACAAATTATTTTTTACTTATCATTGAAAATTTATTGAGTAATTATTAATTTGAGTAAAACACTTATTCATCCCAAATCTGGAGCATCAGAAATTCATTTACAAGATAGTAATTTACATTTTTTTCACAAAATTGTTATTTCCAGTTATGTCATATTTCTTAGCAATCATGCATCTTTTTATTGTGTAAGTCAATAAGCAGCATCACTTTGCTCAGCAGGACCTCTATCTAGTAGAAATTTGAAATTGTTATTGATTTAAATGCAAAGTAGTTTTTAATGACTCAAACTTGTTGATATGAAAGAAATTAGAATATATCTACAATGCTGATATTTGGCCATTATTAGAACTTTTTCCTATGCAATGAAACCAGAGACATGACTGTTAGAAGCCAATGAATTGATTTATTTCTGCTATATCAAAGACTTCAAGCTTTATCTGGATTCCTCTGTGCAATGTAGATCTAGAAAATCCTTTCACCCAGTATACTAAGATAGTCTTTATCCATGGTGTGAAATAAAATAATCTTGAACAGCCGGAGGGCCTTGCTCTAAAAACTATGTTGGTCAGTTCCTATTCCTCACAAATAATAGAAAACATTCATGTGTTTTAGTTAACCACTTTGCAGGACTAGCATCTGCTTACATCTTATGAATGTACATCTTATAAATGTAGGCCTACAGCTTATGAATGTATATCAGAATAAAGTCTACCGCTTTACTTGCTTCGAACCAATCCCTTTATTCTCTCTACATCACTTTCTAAGTGTTCAATTTCAGTTACAGTAACACCTTCAACATCAGGTAAATAAATAGATGAATAATTAGACATTAGTGACCAAAGAAATATGCAGTCTCTATTTCAGACAGAATTCTTTTGTGAGAATCTTTACCCATCCTGTAAAAAAAAAAAATTCACTACTAAAATAAACTATATATTATTTCTAGATTTATTTACTTTATCTTCATGCATGCACAAATTAAATTATAATTTAAATATAAATAATGTATCACTGCTACTTTTTATATACTAGAGGATTAGGATTTTATTTGCAAGTATAAATACTATATGCAAGAATGTCAATCAAATATTATTATGCCATTTTTTTAAAAACAATAATTGCAAGTAATAAGTACAATATTTACTATAGGCCTAGTTATTAGATTGTAACTTCATAAGATGAATAATCAAATATTACACCAACTTCACTTTCATTTACATTCTCCTTGAAGTCTATCATCTATTTCATTCAGAACAGTTTTGCGACAAAATTTATCGCTCGCTCTAGACAAAAAGATATCCTGTAAAAATAAATAAAACAATGTCAGCACTAAAACAATCTCTAATCATTCATGAACTTCATGGATTTATAAATTAAGTTTTAATTACTATTAAAAACAAAAGTAAACCACCACTGCCTATAGTAATTATTACTGTTTGCGTACCGGTATGAAGTAAATAATAAGTAGACTAAGTATGTAGGCCTATGCCTAATATTATTACTATTTTTCTTCCATAATAATTACTATACTACTTTCTAAGCTTATTAGACCCAAACACTGTCTCTGTGTATGAATTAGTATGGTTAGAGAATTATATGCAAGTTATTCTAAGCAGCAGCTAGCAAATATCAGTCTAATACTATATTATTATTGTTATACATTATGACACTTTTTTGGTCTTCAATAGCAGCACTACACTGTACACCCTTTATTATAGGCTTATTATAGTAGCACACTGATCATCTGTATATATATAGTATTGAGTAAGTGCTAAATCTAAGTAAAATTAGTATACAATAGTCTACAGCTTGACTATGTTACTATTGTTACAGATTTTGACACTGTTTTTCTTCTATAATTTACATATTATTATTGTAAAAATATGAAAGAAAAACAAACCTAAGCTAGTGTAAGAACCAACAGTTGACTAGAGTCTATCTACTATGTGTTAGGAATTGTTCTATCAACAAATTATTATACTACAGAAAAGTCACTATACAGTAGTCCCAGCTAATGAGGCCTCAAGAAAGCATGTGTTTATTAAGCTGTTTATCTTACTTTACAACTGTAATTAAAATTAATTTTCAAATTTTTATCACTTATTGGGTAAGATTAAGCACATGTTTACCAAAAATAAAAAAAATAAAAAAGCAAATTCTGTTTTAATGAAGGTCACGGGTGAAGTTTTTTTTTCCTTCTGTCACGTTCAGTGGAGGGTGCCACAGGCTGACCTGACTTTGGAATTTTTTTCAGTAATAATGACTTTGCACAGAAAGTTAAAATATGCTAAATTAGCTTAGTTTACTAGTGTTCTAGCTATTATTGATACATTTTTAATAAAAAAATCATTCTGTAATTCTCATCAAAAAGCCTACTAGGCCGTTCGGTTCAACGCTTCCGGGTTTGTCATTTTTGTGGCATCTCACGGCTCATGCGCTTACTCAAAATGGCGACCAGTTTCGCTTTCACTAAACGGTAGAGGGATAAAACTAATAATAACGAGGCCATCGTTAATTTTAGACATCGGAACTATCCGTTTCTATTTCAGTCTGTTATTTAAGAATTCCCAGATGTACTTTTGACCTAATTTCTTTATTTGTATTTAACGAGGCCGTCGAGAGAAAGTCACGCTTACTTAGCTTGCGTTTCAAGTCGAATAAACTAAAGCAGGTGCGTTATCCAATAACTTTTTTATTAGACCCAATTTTTATAACATCTTTACTATCAAATAAAAATAGAATTGTTTAATATAATTAGGCTGACAACAATGTTTTTCATGCTGTAAGTAATAATGCCATTTTATTATATTCTTGTTTGGTGAAAACGAGGCGCGGGAAAATGTGTGCCGCGTAAGAATCCAATCATTTGGCTAGATTTATGACTGTTTTTTATGTCACACCTAAAAATAGAATGTTTACGCTTTCTTCGTTGATGATTGTTTTTATTATTTTTTAAATTGAAAGTATGAATTATTAGTTAGATTGCAGATTTTGTAACTTGGTATACTTACCCTTTATCAATTTTAAAAACATAGCATGCTGATTGTGAACAAATATAGTCATAAAACACAGAAATATAAAGTTATAATTGCGATGTGCCACACCCGGGCCACACCCCCTATGGTCATACCGTTGCATGGTGTATCAAAACTGTTACATACCGTAATTGGACATTATCAGCACAAATATAAAGAAATAATATGCAAACAACTTATTTTTAGGTAAAATTACTCACCTGAGATTGGTGAATATTTTTTTCAAGAAGAAAAACACGGCCTGTGAATTTTTATTATTTTCTCAAAAACACCTCGATCACAGCTGTCCGACCAGTGTAAAAAAACAGAATCAAACTCGAATTGTGTGAGACGAAAAACACCTATAGTCTGTTTCGGGTATGAATTTGGCTCAAAAGTGATCAAGCTAGTGTATGGCATATTAAAAACTCAGATTTTAACATTTGTGTAGATTCAATGGGGGTTATTTCACTTTGTATCAAAATTGATACAACATGAAATGAAGGGTTATATAGAAAACATATACTTTTACCAGTGTCCGCACCCCCCGGAAAATGTTGACCGCCCCCCCCCCCCCGAAAATATCAAGTGCCCCCCCCCCT